CGATCGAACCCCTTTTGGGGGGTATACCTTTCTTCCCTGCAGGCCGGGCCCTGGCAAGCGGCGGGGCGGCCGCGGACCGTCGGCCTGGCCAGCGGCAGCGCTGATCGGCGGGGCGGCCGCGGACCGTCGACCCGACCCCAAGAGGGACGGACAGGGGACCGACGACGACGACGACGACGACGACGACGACGTCGAAGACGACGGCGGCGACGACGAACGAAAGCGAGAGCGAGAGAGAACGACAGCAGGGCCACGAAGGGCACGAAGTAGGCCACGAAGGGCGACAGCGGGGACACGAAGGGAATGCGTATGGGGCCAGGAAGAGCGCAAACGAGCGGGGGCCACGAAGTGCAGATAATGCGGGGCCACAGAAGGCAACTATGGGGCCACTGAGGGGTAGCAACTGGGCCACGTAGGACAGTGAGGGGGACACAAATGGCGACAGCGGGGCCACGAAGGGCATGCACATGGGGCCACAACGGGCGCGACTCCTGGGTGCCTGGGTGTCGGGAGCGCGGCGCTTGGGCAAATCGCAAGAAATCCCAACGCAAAGCCATTCGTCAGTAAGTTGCAAGCAAGTCTCCAGCGAGAGCGCCATTCCAGAGCGCCGGGAGAGCGATTCCTGAATAATTGTGAGGAAGTCCCAAGCGAGAGCGCGATCCCTGAATAAAATGCGAGGAAGTCTCGGGCGGGAGCGGGGGTCCTGGCTAAAATGCAAGGAAGTCTAAGGCGGGAGCCGTTGTTGTTGTTGTAACCCGGGGGCCAGGGGGCCAGTTTGAGCAGGAAGATTTTCCCTGTCAAAAAACAGGGTGCGAGCGCCGGGGGGGACACTTTGATTGAGAAACAACTTTATGCACCGGTGCGGGGGGATCAACAATATTTATTGTTCAGAAATGAAAATTCAACAACAACAACAACAATAATTTTAAGACCGTTCGCCTTTATATGCTCGAGTGCCCAATAACGCGCATTTCCCAAACCCTCGATACCCGCCCTCTTCGTCTTCGATCGAACCCCTTTTGGGGGGTATACCTTTCTTTCCTGCAGGCCGGGCCCCGCAAGTGCGGTGCGGCCGCGGACCGTCGGCCTGGCCAGCGGCAGCGCTGATCGGCGGGGCGGCCGCGGACCGTCGACCCGACCCCAAGAGGGACGGACAGGGGACCGACCACGACGACGACGACGACGACGACGACGACGACGACGACGACGACGACGACGTCGAAGACGACGGCGACGACGACGACGACGGCGACGACGAACGAAAGCGAGAGCGAGAGAGAACGACAGCAGGGCCACGAAGGGCACGAAGTAGGCCACGAAGGGCGACAGCGGGGAGACGAAGGGAATGCGTATGGGGCCACGAAGAGCGCAAACGAGCGGGGGCCACGAAGTGCAGATAATGCGGGGCCACAGAAGGCAACTATGGGGCCACTGAGGGTAGCAACTGGGCCACGTAGGACAGTGAGGGGGACACAAATGGCGACAGCGGGGCCACGAAGGGCATGCACATAGGGCCACAATGGGCGCGACTCCTGGGTGCCTGGGTGTCGGGAGCGCGGCGCTTGGGCAAATTGCAAGAAATTCCAGTGCAAGGCCATTCTTCAGCAAGTTGCAAGCAAGTCTCCAGCGAGAGCGCCATTCCAGAGCGCCGGGAGAGCGATTCCTGAATAAGTTGTAAGAAAATTCCAAGCGAGAGCGCGATTCCTGAATAAAATGCGAGGAAGTCTCGGGCGGGAGCGGGGGTCCTGGCTAAAATGTAAGGAAGTCTCAGGCGGGAGCCGTTGTTGTTGTAACCCGGGGGCCAGGGGGCCAGTTTGAGCAGGAAGATTTTCCCTGTCAAAAAACAGGGTGCGAGCGTCGAGGGGCACACTTTGATTGAGAAAAAACAGTATGCACCGGTGTGGGGGGATCAACAATATTTATTCTGCAGAAATGAGAATTCAACAACAACAACAACAACAACAACAACAACAACAACAACAACAACAACAACAACAACAACAACAATCATTTTAAGACCGTTCGCCCTTATATGTTCGAGTGTCCAATAACGCGTATTTTTCAAACCCTCGATACCCGCCCTCTTCGTCTTCGATCGAACCCCTTTTGGAGGGTATACCTTTTTTCCCTGCAGGCCGGGCCCCGGCAAGCGGCGGGGCGGCCGCGGACCGTCGGCCTGGCCAGCGGCAGCGCTGATCGGCGGGGCGGCCGCGGACCGTCGACCCGACCCCAACAGGGACGGACAGGGGACCGACCACGACGACGACGACGACGACGACGACGACGACGACGACGACGACGACGACGTCGAAGACGACGGCGACGACGACGACGACGACGGCGACGACGACGACGTCGAAGACGACGAGCGAAAGCGAGAGCGAGAGAGAACGACAGCAGGGCCACGAAGGGCACGAAGTAGGCCACGAAGGGCGACAGCGGGGAGACGAAGGGAATGCGTATGACAGAAGGCAACTATGGGGCCACTGAGGGTAGCAACTGGGCCACGTAGGACAATGAGGGGGACACAAAAAGGGCATGCACATGGGGCCACAATGGGCGCGACTCCTGGGTGCCTGGGTGTCGGGAGCGCGGCGCTTGGGCAAATTGCAAGAAAATTCCAACGCAAGGCTATTCTTCAGTAAGTTGCAAGCAAGTCTCCAGCTAGAGTGCGACTCCAGAGCGCCGGGAGAGTGATTCCTTCATAAATTGCAAGGTAGTCCCAAGCGAGAGCGCGATTCCTGAATAAGATACGAGGAATTCTGGGGCGGGAGCGGGGGTCCTGCTTAAATTGTAAGGAAGTCTCAGGCGGGAGCCGTTGTTGTTGTAACCCGGGGGCCAAGGGGGCCAGTTTGAGCAGGAAGACTTACCCTGTCAAAAAACAGGATGCGAGCGTCGAGGGTCACACTTTGATTGAGAAAAACAGCATGCACCGGTGTGGGGGGGATCAACAATAATTATTCTTCAGAAATGAGGATTCAACCACAACAACAACAACAACAACAACAACAACAGCAGCACGAAACGAAACAAAACAAAACAAGTCAATGACAAAAAACAAACAAACAAAAAAGCTTCCGCCGGGAATCGCGTTTGTAGAAAACCGTACGCGGAGGGGGGCCGAACAATCCCCGGACGCCACCAGGAGCGTAGTATTCATATTGTTTTAACTGTGGAGGGGAAGGGCAGGGGAATGTGGAAGGGCACGGTAGGGTGTCTGGGGGAAATGCACATGATAACACAAAGAACACAAGACAGCACTCTTGGATAATGTGTTGCAGTCTTGGGCCCCCAGGTGGCCAGCGAGCGTAGACACCGAACTTGGGAATCGATGCAGGCGGGCGCACTCACAGCAGAGGCTTGAATCTGGACACTGCATCGGGCCCCGTGCGCCTGACGGGGGGGGGGGCTGGTGGCCAGGCCCAACCGCTCAGTCACGACACACGCGCATGATGACATGACAGTCTGTCCCCGTAGGAGGAGGAGGAGGAGGAGGAGGAGGAGGAGGAGGGAAAGGATGAGGATGAGGAGGAGATCCTCCTCCTCATCATCATCAGTATCATCATCATCATCATCATCATCATCATCATCATCATCATCATCATCATCATCATCATCATCATCATCATCATCAGTATCATTATCATTATCATCATCATCATCATCATCCTCCTCCTCCTCCTCCTCCTCCTCCTCCTCCTCCTCCTCATCCCCTCCTCCTCCTCCTCCTCCTCCTCCTCCTCCTCCTCCTCCTCCTCCTCCTCCTCGTTCGCGCGGTTCCTTTTTCAGGAATCCTCGCAAGCGGCCAGTAGCGGAACAGGCCCTCGCGAGATGGAGCACCCCCTACATATAAGATAGAGGCCTCGGTGGCGCGAGGGCGGCCTCTCGTCGCCTCGCCCACGGGCAGGGACGGTGGTTGCGGCGCGGCCCGTTGTGCAGCCGCCCGTGGCAGTGCAGGCCTTGATCGCCCGACAGCGGCTGCCTACCGCGCGCGTGCTGGCTTCGCTCGGGGATCGGGGCGCTCGGGCGCAGCAAAATGCCCACTGGGGGAGGAGGAGGAGGAGGAGGAGGAGGAGGAGGAGGAGGAGGAGGAGGAGGAGGAGGAGAAGAGGCGGAGAGGCGGAGGAGGAGGAGGAGGAGGAGGAGGACAGGAGAAGCAGGAGCAGGAGGAGGAGGAGGAGGAGGAGGAGGAGGAGGAGGGACGAGAGTCTGCGCGGCCTGGCGATGGCGGGGCGCAGACAGAGACGCAAGCCGTTCGCCGGGTGGTCTTCCACGCCCCGCTCCCTGCCACGGTGGCCCAGTCAGGCGTTGCACAAGTCAAGGCGTTCGTGTTACATGTGGAGTGCCGGTTGCGACGTGATAGATGCAGGAGGGGGAGGAGAAGGAGAAGAAGAAGGAGGAGGAGGAGGACGACGAGGACGAGGGGGAGGAGGAGGAGGAGGAGAGGAGGAGAGGAGGAGGAGGAGGAGGGAGGAGGAGGAGGAGGAGGAGGGAGGAGAGGGAGCAGGGAGGAGCAGGGAGGGAGTAGTAGGAAGAGGGGGAAGAGGAAGAGGAGGAAGAGGAGGAAGGAAGGAGAGGAGGAGAGGAGAAAGGAGGACGAGGGGAAGAGGAGAAGAGGAGAAAGGAGGAGGGAGGAGGAAGAGGGAAGGGAAGGACGATGGAGGAAGGAGATGAGAGGAAGGAGGAAGGAGGAGGAGGAGGAGGAGAGGAGGAAGAGGAGGAGGGCTTGGAGGAGGAGAGCTTGGAGGAGGAGGGCTCGGAGGAGGAGGAGGAGGAGGCAGGGAGGAGGAGGAGGAGAGGGAGGAGGAGGAGGAGAGAGGAGGAGGAGGAGGAGGAGGGAGGGAGGAGGAGGAGGAGAGGAGGGAGGGAGGGAGGGAGGGAGGGAGGAGGGAGGGAGGGAGGCGGAGTGAGAGAGGAGGACGTAGTGAGGGATGGGGGGCAGAACGCGCGCGCAGCGGGAGGGGCGCGCCCCCGGGGGGGGGGCGTCGCACGGCCGCCAGGCGAGGAGCCCCAGGAAGGATCCGGCCTCGGGGGAGCCGCTCCTGGAGACCGACATCAGGAGGAAGCTCCAGGACAACGGGCGGCTCGTGGAGGAGCCCGTGGGTACGGGGCGGAGGGGGGAGGAGGAGGAGGAGGAGGAGGAGGAGGAGGAGGAGGAGGAGGAGGAGGAGGAGGAGGAGGCCAAGAGATGGAAAAAAGAAGCGGCCCCAGTGAAAAGGTCGGGACTTCCGCGGACCGCGTATGAGCAAAACAGAGAGAGAGAGAGAGAGAGAGAGCCAGGAAAGCAGAAAATTGGCACGCTGGAGCCGGGAGGGAGGGGAGGGGGGCGGGGGCAAAAAATATTGAGCGCCCCTGGAGAACGGGAGGGGCGGGGGTGGGAGGGGCCCATGAGGGGGACCCGACCCGGCCCCACCTCCGCTTGTTCAGGGGGGGGACAGTTCGAACTTGGAGGGGGGGGGCGATGGAGAATGGGACTGAGCACAACCGACTCGGAAGGATCCCAACAATTTTGGTATAAATTACAGCCAACCGGTACCAATTTCAACCGCTTTGGAAGCTCCTCAGAGATGTTTTTTAGAGATTCCTGCGAAATTCCACCGAGATTCCTTCGAGATGCCTTCCATCGAGATTCCTGAAAGATTCCTTAGAGGCTCCTCTGGGCTTCCTCAGGGATGCCTGCGGGATTCCTAACGGATTCCTAAAAAAGATGTCTCAGGGATTCCTTTGGTAAGGATCCCTCACGGATGTCTGAGGAATTCTTCAAAGGATTCCTCAAGGGGTCCTCGGGATCATCACGGGATTCTTCAGATCTTCCCGGGAGCTCAGAGGGCGACGCTTTCAATAGAAGCGTTTCTTGCCCTTGGGGTCTTGGGGTGCCTCTGGACTCACCTTGCCTTCCGTGAACTCCGATTAGAAAATCAAGCAATTTTGTGGGAAGATGGGGTCAGCGAGTTTCTCATCAAACTCCCAGCAAACACCGAACATGGTGGTGGTCCTTGCCGAAGAGGGGTCCTGAGGGATACGGGTCCCAGAGCCCTGGGCCCTCAGTTTTTCGATTCGGGCTGTCTTTGACGGTCCTGGGGTCCACGGAGCCCTGAAGGCCAGAAAAAATACAAAAACGCACGAAAAGAGGACCGTCTCCAAGATACGTCTCCTTCATGCCGCATAGCTACCGCTCACGAATCCCACGTTCCACATTTCTTGACAGTCTGCGCCGTGTCAGGAGCTGGACCAGCTGCTGTCCTCCGCTTCCAGGAGCGGGAAGAAGAGGCTGACTTGCCGGCTAGGCGGCCAGCCGACTCCCCCCCCGCTTTGACACGCCCGCGTTGGGACGCAGCACGCGCCGTGTTCAAAAAGTCTGGAATTAAAAATGTTTCATGTTGGTTCAACACGTGCTGGCTTACGTTTGTGCGAATGTGCGACGCAAGAGTTACGTGTTAAATTTGCATGTTGAGTTGCGTGTCAAGACGCTCTGGGTTGTATCAAGACAGCTGCAGTTTTTCGCAGGAAGTCCCCCCTTTGGGCAGCCAGTTTTTCGATGTCGCAGTATTCAAACGCGCTGTCGCGCGTATCGGCCACAGAGCTTGGGAGGGAGGAGAGCAATGCGACCAGACGATTAAGGAATACCCGAAGGGGGTCGCAGCGCCCTTTTTGGGAGGGGATGATAAGCAGAGGTGTGTCCGCTTCGCCATCGTCGCCGTCGAGGCTGCCAGGCCGCAGCCCGCGATCCGAACGAGAAACAAGTATGTGTTGTGTTTGAGTCGTCCCTGCCCGATTCGTTCTTTGATCGTCTGTCCGCAGGCTCTCCCCTCGCTTGCAGTGGTGCTGCTCCCTTCGTCCCCACTGGAGGGCCGAGCCCCATCCCAGCGGCTGGAGCCCGCCGCAGAGCCTGAGAGCGGCGGCACCCGTGCCCTGATCGGGCCTCGGTGGGCCACGCCCGAGCTCGGGAGCCGACTCCGACAGAAAGGTAATCGAGACGGGTCGTCACGGGGGAGGGGGTCTGGGCTTGGAGCTGGCGGGGGGGGCTGAGGGGGCCCAGCATTCGTTCCGGCCAGCGGGCAGGGGGGCCCCCTCGTCGCTCGCCACGGCCGGGTGCGGCCCGAGAAACTGGTCAGTGTTGGCCCCAGGAGGGATTGTGGGACCGATTTGGAGCGAATGTGTCCTCATCCCCCTTCGTGGCCGACTCTCTCTGGGCTTGCCTAGCTCCGACCCCCTGGCCGCCTCCAAGGGATGGTGGGGGGGGCTCGGATGAGGCGGGTGGGGGGCTGCTGGGGAGGGTCTGTGAAACGCCCCCCAAGGAATTTGGTTTTGGCTTCCGTGTGCGGAGGGCCCAGAACCGCAGGGGCAGGGTGCAGAAAGAGACGTGTGTCCGGCTCGATGTATGGGGGGCGGGCGTAGGAAACAAAATTCTTGACGCCTCGCGTATCCCCACCAGCCCATCCAGAAACGATACACATGAGAGCTGACGGGGGGAGAGAGGAAGAGACACGCATAGTCAAACAGTGAGGGAGGTTTGGGAGACTCCGTGGCCATCTCGAGCCGTCTTGGAGCGGTCTTGGGGTCGTTTGGAGCATCTTGGGAGCCATCTTGAGCCAGCTTGGGCTATCTGAACCATCTTGGAGGTCATCTTGGGCTCTCTGAGGCCGCTCGGGGGCCTCTTGGGGGCCGTCTCGGGTGCCTCTTGGAGGCCTCTTGGGGCTTCTTGGGGCGCTCTTTGGGCCCTCTTGGGAGCCTCTTGGGAGCCCTGGAGGGCCTCTTGGGGCCATCTTGGGAGGTTATGGATCAAAAGAGTGGGTTCCTTTATGTTGGTCCCCCCCTCGGGGGCCACGATCCTCGTGAGGGGTGTCAAATTGGCCCTTCCAGGGGCCAAAAAAGGATTCTCTAACTCATCGCGACCCCCCCATCGGGGAGGGGGTAGGGGGAGGGATCAAGTTATTCAAGTTACCCCCTCCCCGCCCGCAAGCCGTCTCGCTCACTCCCACCCGCCCTCCCAACACATACGTAGCACCCGAGTCTGGCCCGAGCCTCAGCATATTCAGCAGTCGTCTTTGGATGGGCAGCTACTGGGGGCCAACCCGCCGCCGCCGCCTCCGCCGCCGCTGCCGCCGCCGCCGCCGCTGCCCGCCGCCGCCGCCCCCGCCGCGCCGCCGCCGCCGCCGCCGCCCCCCGCTGCCTAACCGCCGCCGCAGCCGCTGCCGCCACCGCCGCCACCGCCGCCGCCGCCGCCGCCGCAGCCGCCGCCGCCGCCGCCGCCCCCGCCCCCGCCCCCGCCGCCGCCACCGCCGCCGCAGCCGCAGCCGCAGCCGCCGCAGCCGCCGCCGCCGCCGCAGCCGCAGCCGCCGCAGCCGCCGCCGCCGCCAAGTGTACTCTGTATTGTTTTTTGACAGGGATGGTGGGGGGGGCCGCATCGGGTTGGCTGCGCATGTTCCGAATTTGGAGGCAAAGTGTGTTTTGCATTGTTGTTTTACCAGGGATGGTGGGGGGGTGTTGGCATGGACTCGGGTTGGCCCCCAGTCGCTTGGGGGAGGGGGTGTTTATTAATAAGGAACAGTGATACACCCCTCCCCGAAGGGGACGAAGGGGTTGTGGAAGAGGAAAGAGACCCTCCTTAGACCACCTGTCGCCCAAAGGCCCAAAGGGCTGGTGGGATTTATGGGAATCGTTGCTCAGTACGTTGGCGGAGTTCGGGAGCGGTGGGTTTCGAGAGTAGCCGTGCCAATCGTGCGCGGTATCTCGCATTAAACAGATGGATCATACCTCGCAACCGCAGATGACATGCGCTCGGTGTTGCATCTGCGGTGCTGTGCATTGCGCTGGCGTGGAGGAGGGGCAAGAAAGAGCTAAAGAGCAAAGAAGTGAATATACAGGGAGTGAGAGCTGAGTAGAGGACGGAAGGGAGAACAGCAAGTCAGGAGGCTTTTGGGAAGCCCTTCGAAGCGAGGAGGGGAAGGGAAGATAAATGAATGAGGAGCGGGGAGGGGAAAGGAGCAGGGAGGGGGAGGGGGAGGGGAGAGAAGGAGGACAAGCTAGGTGCGCTCGCGCCATTCCTGACATTATTTCCTCCCCACCTATCCCTTCCCACTGCGCCGACGTTCCCCTATCCGCCGGCGTGTGTCATAGCGAACCTGCGACCCTCCAAAATGACCCCATATCGTGTGTATGCGCAAGCACAAAGGAGAGCTGTGTGGAGGAGGAGGGGGGGGAGGAAGAGGAGGTGGCGGACCGGCAGGAGGACGGGCACGTCCTGAAAGGAAGGAAGGTGAGAAAGGATGAAGATGGGGAAAAAAGGAAGAACAGTTTTTTGGTCGGCGGGTCGAGAGCGGACCTCTTCCGGTTAAGAGCTAGGCGGGGCGCGCGAAGCATTAATTGGGGAGACAGGGCGCGGGCGAGCGGGGCCTCAGGCGGCCAGAGGGTGCGGAGTACAGGCGGCGCCGAAGAGCTTGCACAGGGAAGGTACGCCTTGGACAGGAGCCGGGGGCGAAGTCCTGGAGGGAGAGCGAAGTGGTGTTGCCGTCAACGGCGCGCCCCCCCCCCCCAAAAAAAAAGGAAGAACGGCAGCATTGTCAGATCCTTGCTCGGTTAAGATCGAGCTATGCTGCTCGCATGCCCCCTGCATCCCCGTCCGCGGCCCCCGCTCGGGCGTGCGACGTGTCTTCGTCCTCCTCGGGGGTTTGAATCCTTTTATCGCTCTTCGATAGGCAGCTCTTTCGGTTCGTGGAGTGGCCCGATCCCCCTGTGCGTTTCGAGGGCCACGGCTCGCGTCGCCACATCCTTGATTCCTCTTATGTCTGGTGGTTCCTGTGAAGTTTGGGAGCCCAGCTGGGGCTCCTCACAAAATATGCGTGTCCCTTTTTTCATCTTGTCTGCAAATCTTGGGTTAGCTCGGAGGTTTGTTGGCAGCAGTCTCTAACAAAAATCCTCGTCATCCTCCTCATCCTTCTCTTCCTCCTCCTCCTCCTCCTCCTCCTCCTCCTCCTCCTCCTCCTCCTCCTCCTCCCCCTCCCTCGTTCTACATGTGTACAGTAGCTGCACGGCGCGCGTAACCCATGACCTCGCACACAAGTTGGGCGAACTGTCTGAGGTAAGATGTGAGCACATAGTATCGCATGGTGTGTACAGTTCCACGTCACACGACACGCGCAAGGCCGAGTCGATCCGATCCGATCCGATCCTCCTCCGAACCTCATCCCCGCGCCCCCACTCCTGCCTCTCTCGCTCCTCTCTCGCTCCTCCTCGCTCCTCCTCCTTCTCCTCCTCCTTCTCCTCCTCCTCCTCCTCCTCCTCCTCCTCCTCGTGTGTCTCCTCCTTCCTCATCATCATCATCATCATCATCATCATCATCATCATCATCATCATCATCGTCATCATCATCATCATCATCATCATCATCATCATCATCATCATCATCATCATCATCATCATCATCATCATCATCATCATCCTTCTCCTCCTTTTTCCCCTCCTCCTCCTCCTCCTCATCTTCCTCCTCCTCCTCCATTCCTCTTCCTAACGAATAACCTCCCTGCCGCACCCCGAGGCCAGCTTTTAGGGCGGGCCGGGCGTTTCGCCTGAGGGTTCCTCATCATGTATGACCTCGAAGCTGAAAAAATAGCAACAGCTTCACAGATGGAGGGCGGGTCGTTTTCAAAATGTGGCACTCGCCTTAGCGCCGCGCACATTCGTTTTAAAACATCGCACGAGCTTCACGGATTGAGGGCGGGTGCCTTTCAAATTGTGGCTCTCGCCTTAGCCGCGCACATTCGTTCGAAAGAATTGCCAGGGCTTCACGGATTGAGGGCGGGTGGTTTTCGAAATGTGGTTCTCGCCTTTGCGCCGCGCACATTCGTTTTAAGAAATTCGAGAGCTTCACGGATTGAGGGCGGGTGGTTTTCGAAATGTGGTTCTCGCCTTATCGCCGCGCACATGTTTCAATTTGCAAGAGTTTCACGGACTCCTATGAACAATGTACTAGAAAGAACGTTTTGGAAGAATTCCAGATTATGAGGGTGCAACAGTTACGTACATTGATTCGCGCGGTGTTGAAATCCCAGGAATGTCGCTCTGGCACGATTCAGGATCGTCAAGACGCAACAGTCAAGTTGATCCGTTGCGTTGGAATCCCGAGAACAATGTTTTGGCACTCTTCAAGGTCTTCAAAAGGTGGCCATCCAACGAGGCAGTTCCCTCAGTGGAAATGAACCCTTGTAGGGGCCTATGAAGAGGGAGCTTGGAGGGAGGACATGTTCCAACATCATAGATGGTTCTTGGGTTTACACTGGTCCTCCTCCTCCTCCTCCTCCTCCTCCTCCTCCTCCTCCTCCTCCTCCTCCCCCTCCCCGCGCCTCTCCTCCCCCTCCTCCGCCCTCCTCCTCCTCCTCCTCCTCCTCCCCCTCCTCCCCCTCCTCCTCCTCCTCCTCCTCCTCCTCCTCCCCCTCCTCCTGCAGCAGCAGCGGCAGCCGCCCCCCTGCGGCGCCCGCCCCGAGGCCAGCGCGGCAGCGTGCCGCTGAGCGCCGGCGCCTCCCGCACGGTTGAGGCCCGGGGGGCCTCCGCCCGGGCATGGCGCGCGGGAGCTTCGAGGACCGAGCTCGGAGGATCGAGGTCGGCGACTGCAACGTCGGAAACTGGGACACATACATTACCAGTGGCGGGCTGCTTTTCAATCCCAGGACTTCTTGAGGGTCGAGGACGACGCTGGGGCGGTGTGGTGTATACTTGTTGTTCCTCGATGTCCCGGGGAAACTACGAAAAGTGTATACACCGGGGTCCCGTAAACACCAGGATCCGCTCTCCAGTGCAAACTCCAATGCAGGGCCGGAAGAAGCGTCGGTGTATAGAGTTTGATTCTTTACAACGGGGTGTGGGCACGCCGGGGGTGTGGCTTGCGATCGGTGCCGCTGGCCGCTGGGGCTCAGGGGGCACCACGCGCCTCGTCGGGCCGGCGACTGCCACGGGCGTGGGCACGCCGGGGTGTGGCTTGCGATCGGCGCCGCTGGGGCTTAGGGGGCACCACGCTGCGCCTCGTCGGGCCGGCGACTGCAACGGGTGTGGGCACGCCGGGGTGTGGCTTGCGATCGGCCTCGCTGGGGCTCAGGGGGCTCCACGCTGCGCCAAAGTTTTGATAGACCCTCGTCGGGTCGCGGCCGAGCTCTCCGTCGAGGTCCTCACGGCGCTCCAGCCAGGCGCGCGTTGCAGACCACATCCCCTGCCGACGAGGATCGCGCAGCGAGGATGGAGGCTCCCCAGACTTGCTCGCGTCGTGCTGTTGTTTTTGCCCGCGGGCCCGGCGAGCGCGCGCGGGCCGGACGAGGAGCTCAGAAGCGGTGAGCAGCGAGTTGGGCCGAGCCATCGACTGGGGCAGCGACTACATAATCGAGTTACCCCGAAATTAATGTTTCCCGTCGGATCTACGAGGAGCACGTAGCATGCTCCGTGGATCTCGGAGCATCCTGCGCCTTCCTCGTGGATCCGACGGGAAAGTAAAAATTCTAGGGCAGGTCAATGCTGCAGTCGATCCCCTACTCGAAGCCTGGGACTGCGAAGCGGGGCAGGACGGCCGCGGAGGGAGGGGGCAAGGAGGAGGAGGAGGAGGAGGAGGAGGAGGAGGGAGGGAGGAGAGGAGGAGGAGGAGGAGGGCAGGAGGAGGGAGGAGGAGGAGGATGAGGAGGAGGAATGGGAGGGAGGAGGAGGAGGAGGAGGAGGAGGAGGCCGCGGAGGGGGGGGGGGGGCAGCGCGTGGAGGGGGCGAGCGCTCGGCCTTCGTGGAGGCCTTCGTCGGCAGAGCCTCCACCCCCCTCGAGGCCCCCCGCGTCGGCAGGCTCCGCGGCCCCGCAGGCGCGCTGCCGCCCCGGCAGAGGTGCAGCGAGTGGTCGGCGTGTGCAGGGCGAGGGCGAGCAGGCCCACGCGACGTCCGTACGGTAGGTTCGCGTCGTGTCGACCAGCGGCGACCCCGCCGCCGACGTTCAACGTTGAACGCCGCCGGCGGCCCAGAATCGGTCGATGTGGAACGATCGGGCGTTGCGGAGACGGCCGATCGTTCAAGGTTGAACGATCCAGCGCGGTGTCAGGAACCAACGCCGGGGTCGACACGACGCGAACCTGCCGTAGGCGCATCTCGAAGGAAGAAAGAACAGAAACAAAGATAGCGAACACCCATGCCACACTCATCTGTGAACGCCTCCCCCTCCCCCCAATGTTCACAGTTGGCGGTGGGCCTGATGAGTTGCACCTCGACCGCAGTCTCCCCCGCGCGTGCCAACCTTGAGTTTGGGGGGCAGGGGGGGGTCACTAATTGTTTCCCTCTACCGTATCTCGAAGGAAAAAACATAAACAAAAGAAAACAGCAAACAAAAAAACAAACAAAAAAACGACATAAACATGAACTTGTGGCGCTCCGCGCGAATTTCTTGGATCCGCGCTCGGCCCCCGCCCAGGCGGCGCCTCTGGCGCCGCCCCCGGCGCGCTGCGCGCGCCAGGGAGGGATGTCCGGCGCAGATCCAGGAAATCCGCGCGGAGCGCCAAAAGCCTATATTTATGCCGTGCTTTCTTCTTCTAACGCAACGCCCGTAGGCGTATTTGCACTGCCCTGTTGCGGAAGTGCGCGACCATAGCCAAGGGTGCACTGAGGCAGCTCCTCAGGTAAGCACGCAGGGCCCACGGGGCAACCAGGCTGGCACACAACGCAACATCCAAAAGGGGGGCTGCAAGGTGGCCCAGGTCTGCCGCTGGTGGTCGGGTTCGACGGCGAGCGAGGGGGGGAAGTGAGAAGGAGAAGGCCTCCTCAGAAGGCGGTCGGACTTCTTAGAAGCCCTCGCGCCCTCTGAGAAGTTCTCTGCATCTTCGGGGAAGGCTTAGGAAGCTTCTCAGGAGGCCAGTGGACATCCGAGACTTCTGAGAAGGAGCCCGTTTTCTTAGACTCTGGCAAGTTTACTCGCATGGACGGCGGGAGGGCCTGAACCTGAAACAAGCCGCAAACGACTTGCACGTGCAGAAATCACGCAAGTCAAAAGGCACTTGCACGCTAGTATTCGTTTGAAGAGGGGCGAGGGGGGGGGGAGGCCGAACGCCATGCAAGTAAACTTGCCTGAACCTACAGAAATGGCTCAAGGCTAGCCGCCGACACGTGGCCAGCGTCATGAAAAGACACGGCGGGAGGTGTTCGGCCGTGTTTCTGGCCTCGGGGGGCCCCCCGCCGGGCCCCCAGCACCCTAAGGGAGAAACTGCTCGGGAGGAAGATCCCGCCCCAGGGGAAAGGGCTGGGACTTCCAAAGACCCCGCATGGGAAAATCACGACATCGATGACGATGATGACGATGACGATGACGATGACGATGACGATGACGATGATGATGATGATGATGATGATGATGATGATGATGATGATGATGATGGTGATGATGGTGATGGTGATGATGGTGATGATGATGATGATGGTGATGGTGATGATGGTGATGATGATGGTGATGATGATGATGATGGACTATGGCGATTATGATGACGATGATGATGATGATGCTGATGATAATGATGATGCTGGTGTGTGCTGATGCTGATGCTGATGCTGATGCTGATGCTGATGCTGTGCTGATGCTGCTGCTGGTGCTGATGCTGATGCTGATGCTGATGCTGATGCTGATGCTGATGCTGATGCTGATGCTGATGCTGATGCTGCTGCTGGTGCTGGTGCTGGTGCTGGTGCTGGATGATGATGATGATGATGATGATGATGATGATGATGATGATGATGATGATGATGATGATGATGATGATGATGATGATGATGATGATGATGATGAAAGGGTTGGGGCTTCCAAGTACCCCGCATGGGAAGCATCAGGACATCACATCCATCGTTGTTGCCCTGCTTTGAGCCCCGTGACCTTCACGGGCTCGCAAGGTGCCGCAGAAAGATAGGGCTTGGGATTCCGGTTGAGTTTTCATTGATGTTGCATTTTTTCGTGACGTCGGATCTCAAGGGGCAGGGGGGGTCGAGTTCCGATGATGTAGGTTCTGCGCACTGAAGATACGGATCCGAGTCAACGTTGGCTCTGGTCAGATCGATCTGATTCCATTCCGATATTCTGGCGATCCGACGCGACCCGATGCTTGCATGGCGCTGTCCTGCGTCCCGGTGCGGCCGATCCGACTCGATCTCGACTCCGTGCCGATGCCGACTGATCTTGGAGGATCGGACTTCGAGGATGGCGGACCGGGGATCGCCCGCCGACGCCCGAAGATCGAGAGGCGAGCCTCGGAGGTCGAGCTTCGAGGATCGAGGAGCGGGCTTCGAGCATCGGGGTCCTCTGCCCTTTGTCCCCCCCGTTTTGGAGCCTCCCGGAGGGCCTCTCGGCGCCACGCGGCCGGGTGCCTCTCGATTTTGTTGTTGGGTCGCAGCACACAGCCACCAGGGTGGGCCTCACGGAGGAAGGAGACGTTTCACCCCCAGGCTCAGTACCCCCTCGCGCCGAGGACAAGAAAAAGTCGGAGGGCAGGGCAGGAGGAGGAGGAGGAGGAAGAGGAGGAGGAGGAGGAGAAGGAGGAGGAGGAGGAGGGCAGGGCATGAGGATGAGGAGGAGGAGGAGGAGGAAAAGAAAAAATTGGAGGGCAGGGCATGAGGAGGATGAGGGGGAGGAGGAGGAGGAGGAGGAGGAGGAGGAGGAGGAGGAGGAGGTCATGGCCCAAGGTGCCCCAAGCTTGTCGTGCCGCCGCCTGAGCCTCGGGAGGGGGTGCTCTGGAGGCCACCTTCTCACCTCGGGAACGCTGGGGCCCCGGGGCCATCATCGCTGGCAGCAGCTGAGAGAATCACGACGGCGACCTGCCCTATCGGAAGCCCACGACCGTCCAAGGGGGAGCGGCCCACGCGGCGTCAGAAAGACCAACGCTGGCGCCGTCACGACACGGACCGGTCGCACCTGCCTCCCGTTCGCGCTGCGTGCCGAGGCGCGCCATGGGGCGTGCGGGCCCAGCCCGGCGCCGTGGCCCCGTCTAGTTTACAGTGCCGTTTTTCATACGTGCTCCGCGTGCGGATCATGAGCTAAAAATGCAGGGATTTAGTATTAAAAACAACGATGAGCTCATGCATAAATATAAAATCATACATTAATCATGGATTAAACATCCTATATTTTGAAAAATCCGATGTATGAAAAACTGCCCTGTGTGCTCCCGCTCACTGTGCCTTGGGCGCTGCCGTCGGGGGCACTGCAAGCGGGGGACGCTGGGGTCGCCCATGTCCATGCCCCCGTTTGAGCAAGGGGCCCTGAGCCCCGCCTGCCCAGAGATCCGACGTCGTGATTCTTTCAATACGGGGCCCCCGGAAGTCTTAAGTGGAATCGGGCCTGTCCCCCTACAGGGGTATTTTCGACGAAAGATAAAGAATACCCCCAAAATTTTCAAAAAACCATCCAAAAATAGTCGGGGGACAATTTTCTTATTATTTTTTGACCTTTTTGGGGCATGTTGGGGGTATTTTATATTTTTCGTCGAAAATCCCCCTGTAGGGGGACACGCCCGACATAATGGAAGTCTCGACCCATTCCCCAGGACCGGTTTTTCATCCTGACTCGTTTTGTTGACGGTCCCGGGGCCCGGCGAGGGCCCACAGAGGCCGAAGGTTGCGAAACAAATACGCCCCGATTTTTGTTCAATACGTTGGATCCTTGGGGCCATGCCCCCGTTCGATCGATGGGCCCTGGGCCCCGCCTGGGACTCCCGCCTGGGCCTGGAGGAGGAGGAGGAGGAGGAGGAGGAGGAGGAGGAGGAGGAGAGGAGGAGGAGGAGGAGGAGGAGAGGAAGAGGAAGAGGAGGAGGAGGAGGAGGAGCAGGAGGAGCAGGAGGGAGCATGAGCAGGGAGGAGGAGGGGGGGGGGGGGGGGAAGGGGGAGGGGGAGGAGGGGGAGGAGGGGTGCGAGGAGCTGCAGAAAGCTTTGCGCGCCTGAGGCGCTCCCCTGCCCATGCCGCGCTTGACCAGCGGGACCCGATAGCTGGCGTTTACCAAACGGCTTGTGGGCGTCTACTCAGCAGCCCTGCCCTGTTCGATTCCCTCTTTGGGTGCGTTTACGGAACGGCTTCGCGTGTCGGGGCGATTCTGAACTGGGGTGGATGTTCTGCTCTCTATACACGTGGAGCGTTCTAAAAGGGGCGGGGCTTTGCCCTCGAGGATCGAAGGAGTTGCCATCTCTACCTCGGCGCAAAGACGCTGCGAACGGGCGGCGGAAAGGTCGGCGGAAGTAACACGAGGCCGCCTCCGCCGGCGGAAGGCGGCGGACGTGAAACATCGCCTCCCAAGAGATGACAGCATGTTTGGGTTCACGGTTCCCGGAATCGGCCGAGTGGTGTGGTTACGCTGGGGCAGGGATGGACCTAAACGGTGTTTTGGCGATTTCGTGGGCCGTTTTCGTTTCGATTTCATTTTGTGGTAAAGGTGGATTGAAGACAAAATCAGGGAAACCGAAAACAAAACGAAAACGAAAAACACCGTCTAGGTTCAGCCCTGTGCTGGGGTGTGGTTTGCGTTTACAAAAGGTTTTCGCTCATCGGGCTGCTTCTTTTGAGGGTGCTTCTTCTGCCTTCTAGAAAACGGCGACACTATTCCGTCTTGATCTGTTTGAGACGTTGAGCGTCTGGGTCGCGGCTCCCCCGTTTGTCAGGCATGCCTGGGATGAGGATACGCTCTCAGAGCGTCCCGGGACGCTATGAGAAAGCCGCGGCACCGGATACATCTTTCAGAGCCGCTAGAGATCTAGATCTCAGAGATCCCCGATGTACCATTGCCCGATGTTGCCCCTCCCCTGGCCTCGTCCTACTGTAGTGGGGGCCCACGCCAAGAAGCACCCCTGCTTGCCCCCCCAGGGTGCCCCGGGCTTCTTGGATTTCGAGGGCTCTGCCGTGGAGAGCGCGACGCCCCCACGCTGAGAACCCACGGACGCCCTGGGGCCTCAGGGTCGGGCTTCTCGTGGGAGGTCTCCTGTGGTCCAGCCCCTACCGTATGCGGCTGCCAGAAGTCCCCACCCTTTCTCCGTGACCGAGCTCGCATCCTGCAGTAGTTCTGCTGATGGGCCCGGGGTCCGGCGAGCATCCCAGAAGCCGAAGGCGGCCGAACACCTCCCGTCGTGTTTCTGTTCACGACGCGGGGGTGTGGTCGGCGACCGAGGTTTTATCCATTCCCTTGTGGAAGGCTTCTTGCCGAAGGCTTCTTGTGGACTGGCCTCCACTGTACTGTGCGGCTGCCGCCAGCGCGGCAGATGCAGGCGCCTTCGAGGGGCGCAGGGGCAGAGAGGATGAGAAGGATGAGGAGAAGGGGAAAGGAAAGGATGAGGAGGAGGAGGAGGAGGAGGAGGAGGGAGGAATGAGGAGGAGGAGGAGGAGGAGGAAGAGGAGGAGGGGGGGAATAGATCAGAGATGGAAAAGGTAGAGCCTGGTTTTTTGATGTCACGCAAGTCTACCTGTACTGTGCGGCTGCCGCCAGCGCGGCAGGTGCAGGCGCCGTCGGCGCTCCTGCTGGAGTGCTCGTCGGAGAAGGGGGCCGGCGGGGCGAAGGTGCGCGCCGCCCGCGGCCCTCGAGGGGCGCAGGGGCAGGGAGGAGGAGGAGGAGGAGGAGGAGGGGAAAGGAAAGGAGGAGGAGGAGGAGGAGGAGGAGGGAGGAATGAGGAGGAGGAGGAGGAGAAGGAGAGATGAGGAGGAGGAGGAGTGGAGGGGGGAAAGGAAAGGATGATGATGAGAGGAGGAGAGGAGGAGGAGGAGGAGGAGGAGAAGGATGAGGAGGAGGCGGAGGGAGGAAATGAGGAGGAAAGAGGAGAGAAGAGGAGGAGATGAGGTGGGGAGGAGGAGGAGGAGGAGGAGAGGAGGAGGGGGGAAAGGAAAGGAGGAGGGGAGGAGGAGGAGAAGGAATGAGGAGGAGGAGGAGGAGGAAGGGGAGGAGGAGGAGGAGGATGATGATGAGGAGGAGGAGGAGGAGGAGGAGGGAGGAATGAGGAGGAGGAGGAGGATCAGAGATGGAAGAGGTAGAGCCTGGTTTTGTTGATGTCAGGCAAGTCTACCTGCATGGGCCTTCGCCCCCCGCTCCCCCCACCCCTCCCCTCGCCCCTCTTCAAACGAATACCAGCGTGCAGGTGCCTTTCGACTTGCGTGCTCTCCGCACGTGCAAGTCGTTTGCGACTTGCCTCAGGCAGGTTCAGCCCCCCCCCCCTCGTCCATGCAAGTAAACTTGCCGGAGTTTTAAAAGAATATTGGCTCGTACCCATATTGCTACCCTTCCCTCGCTTTCGCCTGCGGGGGCCTCCTGGGAGGCCCTCGTCGCCACGGCTGGATTCACCTCGGAATGCAGGTCAGAACGCATCCAAGGAGAGGTCGGAGGAGTAGCGGCATCGGGATTTGTTTGTTTTCCCAACAGAGGAGAGGGATGATGAGGAGGAGAAGGGGAAGCAGGAGGATGCGGGGGAGGTGGAGGAGGGGAAGCGGGAGAGGGAGGAGGAGGAGGAGGAGAAGGAAGAGGAGGAGGAGGAGGAGGAGGAGGAGGAAGGAGGAGAAGGAGAAGGGAGGAGGAGGAGGAGGAGGAGGAGGAGGAGGAGCAGAGGAGCGGAGGAGGCGGACGGGAAAGAGGAGGAGGAGGAGGAGGAGGAGGTCGACGGGGAGGAAAGGATGGGATGGCCGGGGAGGTGGGGAGGAGCAGAGTGGGAAAGGCGCAGAGGGCATGGACGCGCGCTCCTTCAGGCTCACGGGCGAGTCCCCTCCAAACGGTGGGATGACCCCCCCGCGTCGGAGGAGTGGGAGGAGGAGGAGGAGGAGGAGGAAGAGGAAGAGGAAGAGAAGGATGAGAGGACTGGATGGGAGGTGGGGTAGAGGGGAGGAGGGGGAGGGGAAGGGAGGTTGGGGAGGCCAGTCGAGGATTTGAGGGACTAACGGGAAAAAGGAGGAAGTGGATGAGAGGTGTCCAGCATCAGCACAGAAGCAGGAAGGAGGGAGAGGATGAGAAGGAAGAGACGAGGAGGCAGGAGGAGGAGGAGGAGGAGGGAGGATGGGGATGGAGCACGGTAAGGAGAGGAAGAGGGTCGAGGGTAGGAAGATGAGGAGCGCAGGAGGAAAAGGGAAGGAGGGGGAGGAGGAGGAGGAGGAGGAGGAGGAGGAGGAGGAAAAAGAGGAGGAGGAGGAGGGAGGGAGGGAGGGAGGGAGGGAGGGAGCGAAAGAAGGAGGAGGGAAGGTGTTAGGAAAGGAGGGGTAATTAGAAGGAGAATGAAGAGAAGGAGCAGGATGAAGAGGATGAGCAGGAGGAGAGAAGGTGACAGGGGAGGAGGAGGAGGAGGAGGAGGAGGAGGAGGAGAAGAAGGGAGAGGATGGTAGGGATAGCGTTGTGCGCTCGCATTACACATGACAGGTGTTGCATACCTGGAGATTGTGTTGGTCCTTCATGCGTGTATACAGAATTGTGTACATCTGTATGTGTATATATATATATATGTATATACTTTTATACATACATACACATCCTGTCGGGAACGTTGGCTTAGCTTGTCGCTCCGTCGGTTCTGGCCTGCCACGTTTTGGCTCGACACGCTCTCCACGCTCACATTCCCAATCGTCAACGTCCCGAGCTTGTCCCAGCCTCCCGCCCCGAGGAGTTGAGCGACACGCTATCAGCTCGCAAGCCATAGCGTGTCGCCGGGGCCGCCGCCGCGAAACGCTAAGCAAAAGAGCCCGGCCGTACATAATCATACATATCTCAAGCGTAATACATGTACGTATGAGTATTTAGTGATGAAAAATACAAATGTTGGCCAGCGTGGACCCCACAGTGTGTGCGTGTGTTTGTTTAGCCATCTATGTTGTGCACTACAAGTTGCGCAACCCACGTGGTACTATCTATGCTGCGGGATATGTGGTGTGCAATCTACGTACTGCAATCGACGCTGTGCAACTTATGCGGTGCGGCCCATGTAACGCAATCTATGTCGTGGATTATGTTTGTGTGTTACAGTCGGGGCCCTGAAGAAGGAACGCTTTTCGTTGGGGAGAGGCTCGGTGTTCCTTGATTGTTTTACCGTTTGCCTCGGGTTCCCCTTAGGTTTTTGCATGGGAAATCGAAGTTTAACTTATGGAAAGAGGGGCCTCGTTTTTAGGGTTCCTTAGGTCAACGCCCCGACTGTAGTGTACATATATAAATATATGCATATGGTGGCGCGTATGTGGTTGTGCAACGAATGGTGTGTTATCTCTATGGTGCTGTATATGTGGATGGACAGTCTTTATGGTGCTATTCATTTTTGTTCGCAGCGAATTGTCAACTCCACTTTTCGCACAATCATCCCACCCACCCACCCGCAACTTGGCTTGCAAAACCTATCGGCGGCGATTGCGATGGCTGCTTGGCGCTGGTTGTTGAATCGCTGCTGCGGCCGCGCTAGCGCGCGCTGGCTTCGCGCGCAGAGCGCCCAGTTTGTCTGGCGCAACCGACGCGGCCGCGGTGGCGCTGACCACTGGGGACTCCCCAGCGCATCTCGCAGGCCGCGCTGACGCGCGGTCACTTTAGAGCGAGTCCGCGATTGGGGCGGGCGCTGTATCATGGCGACGTCGACAACGGCAGACACGCCGATGATAGGCGATGTTGGTGACGATGATGGGGATGAAAAAGACATGGCCAATGACGGCGTCGATGTTGATCACGCCTACGACGATGATGATGTCCGCGTGTCGATGATGATGAAAAATAAAAAAAGTTTCGACATGCGCGCGCGGCCGACGCGCGCGAGTGGCCCGCATGGGTTTATTTCACCGCGACCGTGCTCCCCAGCACGCGCGCAAGGGCGTTCGAATGTTTTCGACATGCGCGCGCGAGAAGCACGCTTGGTCGCCTGTGATGAAAACGCTTGTGAGTAACACCCGGTTTCTTCAGAATTCGCAAGTGCGCGCGCGCAGGTTGTTTTGACAATTCGGGTTGCGAAACCATTGTTTTTAATATGCGTTCGGGGCACTCGATTTTGAAATGGTTACCAAACCAATATTTTGACCGACTTCTGCATGCGCACGCGAAAACGCAAGCCACATTCGAATGATTTCGACATGCGCACGAAAGCCACGCCTAATTGCAGTGTGTGCAGATATGCCTTAATATTACATCTATAGATGTACAAACCGACAAACAGGAGGAACCAAGAAAGAAACAACAAAAAAAACGTAAGAACGCGCACGCAAGTTTTTTGTTTTACACGATGGTCGCGAAACTACTGGTTGTTGAGTCTGTCGTGGGACATTTGATTTTGAAATCCACACGAAAACTACGTTTTAAACAGCTTATGGCATGCGCGTTCGACGACGCGCGCGTGTGCATGTCGTCACTGATTTCGCAAAGAATGTTCGAACAAATCTCTCGAGATCAAGAAATTCGCGCGCATGGTTTCAGTTGACGGGGATGGCAGGGGGGGGTCGATACCACCTTGGCTGGAAGTGTATGAACTCGTATGGGACATGAACGATTACGCAGGATCATTTACACAAATTGCAACGCGCGAGGGTGAACGGCTGAGTCCGGTTGCGGCTATGTGGTGGCAGTCGTTTGCATTTAAAGTGACAGTTCACGTTGTGCAAAATATTCGTTGTAAGCTATATTGCGAGCGATCAAAAGGCGCGCCGCAGGCGTGATTCTTTTTTCGCGCAGCCGTCGTGGTGCAATCCAACGGCGGCGGCAAGGCGGCGACGGCGGCCACATAGCTGCCAGACCGAAGACACGGCCAAGACGACGAAATTTATGTGGTTGTGCAATCGACGTGGTGCAACACATGTTGTGCAATCCTTACGGTGTTAATTTTGTTGTTGTGCAATAGATGTTGTGCAATCTATGTGTGCAGCGTACGTTGCGCAGGGCAAAATATGCTGCGAGCGATCGAAAAGCGCGCAGCGGGCGCGTTTTTTGTTGCCACGCAGTCTACGCGGTGCAATCCAAAAGTGGCCACGGGCGCCGATGGGGCGGCCACATGGCCACCGAACCGAAGACACGGCCAAGTTCCTTAGAGCAGACGTAAGAGAACCCCAAGTACAAGCTCTGTTTGGGGAAATGCGTACATGCACATACACGCAGCTGTGTTGTTAGCATACGTTATCATGCACAGTTTGTATACACATGTCTGTACACATATGTATGTGTATACATGTATGCAGGCATATCGCCAGGAAATATTTGTTGCTGACGAAGAAACTACTGGGCCGTCCGTCTCGGGAGCGTCCTGAGACGGAGCAAGATGGCACAATGTGGACCCAAGAAAACCCCAAGCGACCCAGAAGAGATCCCCAAGACAACCAACACTGGCCAATGACGGCCCAAGAAGATGGCTGCAAGACGGCCCGACCCGGGCTGTGCCATCCCTGTAGGCCACCGCCCCCGAAGGCCTCGAAGAGGGAGCCGCGCAGCGTGCCGCATGCCGCCCAGTTGCGGCGGGAGCGGGGGGGAGGAGGGGAGGAGCGAGAAGGAGCCCAACGAGGGGAGCGTTGAGCTTTGAGCGGACCTTGCCTGGCCCCCGCCGCTCCCAGCCGGAGGTGGCTTTCGACATTGTCGTCACGGACGCCGAGGCGCACGTGGCCAGCGGACCCTACCGGGCGCAGACGACTGGCAAGACTTTGTACCGGCTGCGTCCGCCCTCTGCCTCCCGGGGCGGTGCTCGCGCGGGAGAGCGAAGGAAGGGTTGCGCCACGTCCTCATCCTCATCATCATCAGCAGCATCATCATCATAATCTCCATCTCCATCTTCATATTTATGTTCATCTTCATCTTCATCGTCATCGTCATATTCAGAATAATCTTCATCTTCATCTTCAGATTCCTCCTCCTGCTCCTCCTCCTCCTCCTCTTCCTCCTGCTCCTGCTCCTCCTCTACTTCCTCCTCCTCCTCATCTTCGTCCTTCTCCTCCTCCTTCTCCTCCTCCTCCACCCCATGCCTCCCTCGCTCCTCCTCCTCCTCCTCCTCCTGCTCATGCCCACCCCTACTCCTCCCCCTCCTCCTCCTCCTCCTCCTCCTCCTCCTCTTCCTCCTCCTCTTGCTTCTCCTCCGTGCCTGAACTGGAGGGCCCTGTTCACCCAGAGGGGTAGGAGGTTCGTTGTCCACGCGCCTGCCTGAAAGAAGAAGTACGGATCGAAGCCAGGCCCCTATTGTCTTGCGTCTTGCAGAGGCACAGGTGGAGCGTCAGATCCAGGGTGGACCTCCTCCTGAAGGCCAGTCCTGCCCAATGCAGCATTACCTGGACCTTGTGAGCTTCATTTGAAATTATCGGCGACTCGCGTATCCCCACCAGCCCAACCAGAAACGATGCCCAGGCGAGTTGCCATGATCAGGGAAGTGTAGGATCAAGCAAGCAGCGGAACAAAGAGGGGGGGGGTCAGCCGTCAAGCCGAAGCTCGGGATCAGCCTGAGCAGACCCTGGAGTCAACCAGAAATGCATTCCTGGATCTTTCCCAACGGCCCAACATGAGCCTTTGAGCAGCTTACTTGGGACATGTTGGAGCCCTCTTGGGGCAATTTTGGAGGACTTCGAAGACATTGGGGGCCCGAAGAAGACGAAAAAAGAAGGAGGAGGAGAGGGAGAGAAGGGAGGATAGCAAGGGTAGGAAAGGGAGGTGAGGAGAGGGACGAGGAAGGCAAGGGCGACGAGGATGGGGAACCGGAGGAAGAAGGGATGACAACATTCAGAATAAGAAGAAGAGGGGAAGGAGGGGAGGGAGGGGAGACGGAGGAAGGAGGAGGAATGGGGGAAGGGAGGGAGGGAGCGAGAGAGGGAATAGAGGAAGGGAGTGAGGGAGGCAGCGGGGGAGGATAAAGAGGAGGAAGAGCAGGAGGAAGGAAGCAGAAGGGAGAGGTGTGGCATGGTCTCCTCCGCGGAGGGAAGGCGGTTGCCTCCTCCCGCTTGTGTCCCTCTTCCCTGCCCCACCCGCCCGCCCGCCCCTGCCCCGGCGCCTGCGGACCATTCATCCCAGCTGGTCCAGTTCTCTCTCGAGGGGCCTGCTGCTTGGTATTGACGGTTGTGCTGTGGCCCCCTCTTGTGATTGGTTCCCTCTTCCGTTGTTCCTTGCTGATCGTACTCGTCGTCACCATACAGTGGAGACCCATGCCAAGAAACACCCTGCTTGCCTCCAGGGTGCCCTGGGTTTCTTGGGTTTCGATGGTTTTGCTATGGAAAGCGTGACGTTCCCACGCCAAAAATCAATGGACGTTCTGTGGTCTCAGGGTTGGGTGTCTTGTGGAAGGTTTCTTGTGGTCGGGCCCCTACTGTAATACCTTCCCTTCGTCCGCATGTTCGATCATTACCAGCTGAATGCATTCACTGGTTTCCCGGAAGCTTCGCGCAGAACCCTGGAGCAGGCGCCTACGAGGAGCTCCCAGACCTGGGACGTCGTGTGTTTTTCCACCTGCGACCTGGGCCCCAAGAAGTCTCGACCTCACCCCCAGGACAGTGTTTTCGCCACGGGTTGCTCACTTGAAAGCCCCAGGGCCGAAGGTTGCCCAGATACCGAAACTGCAGCAAAACAGCAGCCGCAACAACACAACAACAACAACAACAACAACAACAACAACAACAACAACAACAACAACAACAACAGCAACGACAACAACAACAATCATTTTAAGACTGTTCGCTCTTATCTGCTCGCGTGTCATTCAATATGCATATCCCAAACCCTGGATACCCGCCCTCCTCGTCTTCGATCGTACCCCCTTTTGGGGGGTAGATTCATTCCCTGCCACGTGTGGTTGGTGAAGCCCTTGAAAACGAAGGGTAACAGATAACGGGGGAGAATGAGGACGAAGGGATCGGAGTAAGGGAGGGGAGGGTCAAGAAGGAGGGAGGACTATGAGTTGCGCTGCGAGTGGCGATTCGGCTTGCGCCAGCCACTCCAACACAGGTTAACAATAAGTTTCGCCATGGGTCGCGCCATAAACAGCGTCTCGTACCACCCCCTTGAAAGAACATATCGTGGATACCCCCACGGGCGACGTACAGCTGCGAAGTGGTGTCAGAAACAAAGTTCGTGGAACCCTGAGAAGAAACGGGATGTTGGGAGAGTGGGGCGGAAGGAGACTGAGAACTGCAGAGGTGTCGAGAGGAACGCGGAAGCCCCAAGTGAAAGCGCGATTCCTCAATAAACTGTAAGGACATATCAAGCGGGAGTCGCGACCTGGTGGTAAATTGCACGGAAGTCCCAAGCGAGAGCGCGATTCTTCAATAAATTGTAAGGAAGTCTCAGGCGGGAGCCGCTGTTGCTGTAAAAACCGGGGGCCAACAACATAGTTTGACCTTCAAGATTTTCCTTGATGAAAAAAAGGGTTGCGAGCCCCGGGAGGGGCACTTCAATCGAAAAAAAAACAATGTTCACCGGACGGGGGGGATCAACTATAATAATTCTTCAGAAATGACAGTTCAACAACAACAAAAACGACGACAACAGCAACAGCAACAGCAACCGCAACAACAACAACAATGACAACAAGAACAGCAACAACAACAATCATGTTCACTCATATATGCTCGCGCGTCGTCAAACGCGTGCATCCTAAATCCTCAACCCCCGCCCTCTTCGTTTTCGATCGCCCCCCCTTGGGGGTATCTTCCTTGCCTGCCAGGCGCATGTAGCGAAGCCCCGGAAACAGGGGAAGAGAGGATGGATGGAAGGGGGAAGGAGAAGGATGGAGCACGAGAGAAATTTGCAAGAGCAGGGCTATGAGCAGAAAACACGTGGCAGAACCAGACGGGCAGATCCGGCGGGCGGACCCCTAGCAGGCGGGTCGGAAAGGTGGGCCCGGGCGGCCAGTTCGAGCAGGCAGGTCGCTGAAGCGTGAGTCCCACATGAATGGCGAGGGAGCCTCGAGCAATAGCGCGGTTCCCAAGCAAATCGTGAAGCAAGGCCAAAGCGAGAGCGCGGTTCCTGAGTGTCGAGGGCGCGGCGCCCGAACAAATTGCAAGGAAGTCCCGCGCGAGAGCGCGATTCCTCAACTAATTGCGAGGAAGACCCGCGCGAGAGCGCGAATTTTGAAACATTGTGAGGAAGCACCAGGCGGGAGCCGCAGTTGTTGTAAACTGGGTGCCTGGGGCACAGGTCGAGCAAGAAGATTTTCACTGGCAGAAAAACCGAATAAGAGCCCCGGGGGGGGCAATCCAATTGAAAAAGAAATTTGTGCACTGCTAGGGGGATCAACAATAACTATTGTTGAAGAATCAACAACAAGAGCAATAACAACAACCACAACCACAACAACGACAAAAACAACAACAACAACAACAACAACAACAACAACAACAACACAACAAAAACCATGAAAACAACAACAATCATGTCAAGACTGTTCCCTGTTACCTGCTCGCGGACCATCCAACACGTAGATGACAAGCCCTTGGTGCCCGTTGTCGTCGTCTTCGATCGTACCCTGCTGGTGATTATATTATATATAAACACACGCGTATGTTTCTTACCTGCACCGTGTATTTCGTGCAGCCCCGAAGGCAAGAGAACAGAGGAAGGTTCGAAGGAAGGGACCAGGGGGGGAAGGAGGATGGAGCACGAGAGACAGTAGCAGGAAGGGGGCTATGAGCAGAAAGCACGAGGCAGAAACATACGGGCAGATCGGGCGGGTAGACCCTAGCGGGCGGGTCAGGAAGGCGGGCCCAGGCGGCCAGGTCGAGCAGGCGGGTTGCTGAAGCGTGCGTTCTGAATGAGTAGTGAGGAAGTCTCCCAAATAATTCGTGAGGAATCCCAGGTGAAATCATGATTCCTGAGTGTCGAGGGCGCGGGGTCTGAATAAAGCGCGAGGAAGTCACACGCGAGAGTGCGATCCCTGTATGAATTGTGAGGGCGTCCCGCGCGAGAGCGCCATTTGGTAATACATTGTGAGGAAATATCAGGCGGGAGCCGCTGTTGTTGTAAACCGGGGGCCAGGGGCACAGGTTGGTGACACCTCGATTTATCCTGGTGTTTTTGTAAAACATGCAAGCCGCGGAAGGAGCATGTTAATTCAAAAGACCAATGGTTACCGGGGAGAGGGATCAACAATAGTTATTATTGAGAAATGAAAACTGAACAACAACAACAACCACAACAACAACAACAACAACCACAACAACAACAACAGCAGCAGCAGCAGCAACAAACATATGAACGGCAACAACAACAGCAGCAATAACAACAACACTCAGTGCAAGACTGTTCGTTCCTATCTGCGCACGTGCCAACCAATACGTATATCGCAAACCCTCGGTACCCGCCCGCGTCGTCTTCGATCGTATCCCCTTGGGGTCTACCTTCCTTCCCTGCCACGCGCATGTCGTGCAGCCCCTAAAACAAGAGAAGAGAGGACGGGTGGAAGAGGGAGGGAGGAAAATGGAACACGGCATTAACAGGAGGGGGGCTAGGAGCAAAAAACACGCGGCAGAGCCAGACGGGCAGATCGTGTGGGCAGACCCGAGCGGGCGGGTCGGGAAGGCAGACCCATGCGGTTGTGAATTCAACAACGACAACAACCACAACCACAACCACAAAAAAACTAAGTTTCAGACTGTCCGCTCTTACTTGCTCGCGTGCTACTCAACACGTATATCCCAAATCCTCGGTGCCCGCCCTCTTCGTTTTGGATCGTATCCCCTTGG